ACGGCAGCGCCGCCAGAGGCGGGCACCCTGCCATGTCTCCCGGCGCGCGGAGAGGCCTCGAGTCTCATTCGGAAGCGAGGGGTCCGCGCCGCCTCTGCGGCGCCGCCGCCGCACCGCCGCCAGGGCCAGTCCCGATGAGGTGAGCAGGACTTCTGCTCAAATGGCGGGCTTGTGTGGTGGGGAACTTTCCCTCAGCGGTGTCCCGCCGCTGGTTCTGGCTCACCCCGCTGCGCCACGACACGCTGATCACGTCCCAGTCCGCAAGCGTCAACGCCCTGGGCCCCTCCCAGCCTCCCGCCCCGCGAAGCGGAGCGACACGCTGTCCGCTTGCAGGGCATAGCGTGTCGCTGGGGCCGCCGCCGCGACACCTTCAGCAAAAGTTCCTGACCGGAGGCGCAGGTCGCTGCCGCGTAGTTCGTTGTCGCCGTCATCGTCGTTGTCGTCAACCGACCCTTCCTCTTGGACTTTGGCAAGTTATGGCATAGTGGGGCCCCATCCCATCCCATCAGTCGCGGAGCTGGCGGCTCTGATCGTCTGGACGTAGATGCAATACGCATGACGTGGCCAGCCTGGGCGAGAGTTGGAATGACGTGTGGCAAGGCGCGGTAATCCTCAACGCGTGTATCCATATGGTGGCCTCCGAGTGGGTTTGTATGTGAACCCAGCCACGTGTGTGTGTGTGTGTGTGTTCACGTCTCTTGATACATCGTGTCCCCTGATGCCCTTCCGCCGGAGCAGTCGACCTTTGCCCAGCCGCCGACGCAAAAAGTGTATCTTCACCTCCATGGGTCTACACAACTGTATGATATGACCTGTTGAGTCCCGTTGCTTACGCCAAACGCCTGCTTCGACAGTCAAGGCGCTGCACTCAGTACCACTTCGGGCACAAGATGGGCTGTGATTGTCGGGCCGCTCCGTAGGTTTGGATCGTAGGCCCTGTTCGTGATCAAGGTTCGTCGCGACCAGAAAAACTCTCGGTTCCTCATTCGGCGTCCCCAATGACTGTACGACTACGGATCTGCACGTGCAGATATGAAAACCTTGCGCCAGACGCCTGCTGCCACGCCCGCGGCCTCGGGCGCAGCAGGCGCGCGATCGGTCCGTGGGAGCCGGCCCAGCGGGAGGGGTCAGCGGCAGGGCGGCAGCCAGGAGCTCACGGGGTTGACGGCCAGAGTCGCGTCTCACAAGTCCCTTGAAGGCCCCGCCCTTTTCCCACTGCCAGGCCGCTTCCTCTTCTTCCCGCATCCGTTTCTCATTGTCCCGGGGCCAGATCACGGGCCCTAGATCGAGGACGGCCAAGAGGTGTGTGTGATGACCAGGGTGGGGTGGATATCATGGCGGAGGCCATGATATCTCCCCAGATCAGTTCCGCGCTTCTGCTCGCTCGGCTTGTTCCGCCCTGCGCCATGGTAAGGGATGCGAGGGATGGGAGGGAGGGGTAGGATTGGAGGGAGGGGATCTACTCCATGGTAATGGATGGGAGGGAGGGGTCGGATGGGAGGAAGGGGATCTACGTCATGGTAAGGGATGGAACGGAGGGGTACAACGTCAGATGAGACGCTTGCGCGCCTAGCTTGCCTCCCTCCCCTCTTCCTCCTCATCCTCCTCCTTCTCGCTCCTCCTCCTCCTCCTCCTCCTCCTCCTCCTCCTCCTCCTCCTCTCCTCCTCTCCTCCTCTCCTCCTCCTCCTCCCCTCCTTCCTCCTCCTCCTCCTCTCCTCCTCTCCTCCTCCTCTCCTCCTCCTCCTCCTCCTCCTCCCTCCTCCTCCTCCTCCTCCTCCTCCTCTCCTCTCCTCCTCCCTCCTTCCCCTCCTTCCCTCCTCCTCCCCCTCTCTCCTCCTCCTCCTCCTTCCTCTCCTTCTTCCTCCTCCTCCCTCCTCCTCCTCCTCCTCCTCCTCCTCCTCCTCCTCGTTCTCCTCCTCGCTCCTCGGCCCGCCGCCGAGCCGCGCCCACTGCCTTGGGGCGCCGCGGGCGCCGCCGCTCGGCGCCGCTTGGCTCCTGAGGCCTCGCGCGCGCCCGCCGCCGCCGCGGCCGCCGCCCCGCGCGCCCCCCGCCGCCCAGGGCGCGCCCGAGGGCGATGCGTGGGAGTCCACGGCGCGCCCCGCCCGCCTGCCGCCACCCGCGCCGCCTGGCGAGGGCGCCGCGCGGCGAGGGCGACGACAACGACGACGACGGCGGCGACGTTCTCGACGTTCTCAACGACGACGGCGACGACGTTCTCGACGACGACGATGTTCTCGACAACGACGTTCTCGACGACGACCTTCTCGACGACGACGACGACGACGACGACGACGACGACGACGACGACGACGACGACGACGACGACTACGTTCTCGACGACGACTCTCTCGACGACGACGACGAGAATGTTCTCGACGACGATGTTCTAAACACGACGTTCTCAACGACTACGTGCTCGACGACGACGTCGACGATGACGTTCTCGGGGGCCCATCGCCGGCCTGTCGGCGAGGTGCCGTCGATTCCGCGTCGATGGTTGCCCCCACCGAGCCGGTTCCTCCCTACCGTGCTGCCCCTCGGGCGAGGGCGGGGCAGAGGGCAGTGCCTCAACACATTCAGGAGGAGCAGGAGGAGGCGGAGGAGGAGGAGGAGGAGGAGGAGAACGATAATGAGGAGGGGGAGGAGGAGGCGGAGGAGGAGGAAGAGGAGGAGGAGGAGCAGGAGGAAGAGGAAGAGGAGGAGGAGGAGGAGGAGGAGGAGGAAGGAAGATAATGATGATGATGATGATGATGATGATGATGATGATGATGATGATGATGATGATGATGATGAGGAGGAGGAGGAGGAGGAGGAGGAGGAGGAGGAGGCGGAGGAGGAGGCGGAGGAGGAGGAGGAGAAGGAGGAGGAGGTGCGGAGCAAGAGCGGAGAAGTGAAAGCGAGGCCGCTCGGCCTCGTGGGGCCCTCTCGCGGCCCGGGGCTGTCAACAGGGGACGGTTCGAGACGAGAGCTTTGCCCGAGAGAAGGGGGTCGGGACTGGCGGGTGGCCCGCAGCAGCAAACATCAGCAATATCGAAGCAAACATGGCATAAACATAGAGGGAGGGGGTCCAGCGCAGATCCAAGAAATTCGCGCGGAGCGCCACATGCTTTATGTCTATGGTGTTGTTTCCTCTTCTATGCCCGCCGCAGGCCCCGCCATCCCTACCAGCGCAGCAGTGCAGCAGCGCAGCAGGCAGGAAGGCCCAGTAGCCTTGGGAGCCCAGGCGCGTCCGCACGACGGCCTTCGGACATCCTGAGGCAAATGACAAGACGCGGACGGGCGTCCCCCTGAGCGGTGGCACCTAGAGCGGCGGATTGGTGCCGCATTTTCATTATTTCGCGGCCTCCATCGTCAGTTCTGTCTTGCGTTAAGTCTTGCATGTCCCTCTACAGTGGGAAGATTCGAGAGTCGTTAGAAAACAGTGTGGTGACGATTTTCCGTGATCTTTTGATTATGCTTGAGTATTATGTTGATTATGTATTTAGTCTTCTTCGGAAACCCGCCTGTAGGAGGACATGCCCGAACTATGACTTGCGGCGCGGTCGTCGGAGCCTCGGGTCCCTCCTTTCTCTTGGAAGCATCGTGGAGGCTTCCCTGTGGCGTATTCAGAGCCTCTCTGGGGCATCTCAAGGTAATTAGTGGCCTTTGGGAGTTCTGTTGGGGCCTTGCGGGGGCCTCTTTGGGCCCTATTGGGACCATCTGTCCTACGCCCATCTTGGGGCGATGTTCAGTGCCTTGGGCCGTCTTGGGCTTCAGAAGGCCCCCAGGGCGAGAACCCGGAATCCATTGATAAACCTTACGACATCAACATGTGTGTTTGTTTCGCGCGGTGTTCTTGGGGGCGACGTTGAGGCGTCTTGGGCTGGATTGAGGCAATCTTGGGCTGTCTCTGAACCCTCTGCGACGAGGACGGCGACGGCGCTCGCGCACCAGGATGAGGAGTGCGATCAGCATGGGGAGAAGGAGTGGGAGGACCAGGATAATGAGTAGAAAGTAGGAGTACAATTCTTGACGTTTCGTGTCTCCCCACCAGCTGCTCCTGACTTCATCCTGGTATCGCTCCCGCGCCATTTTGACTGCGCCCCAACCTTGGTTGGCTAATTATGCATGCGCTCGCGCCTGGACCTGTTTCCTGGCAGCTGCAGCCCGCACCACCTCCCGCTTCCAGTGATCTGAGGTGCCGCTTAGGCCTCTGTTTGCTGGCGCGTTGGGCAATTAGGTTCGCGCGCGGCCCGCTTGTTCCGTTACTCGCCGCCTGCGCTTTCGCTTGCGGTTGCGACAAAAAGTATCCCCACCAGTTGTCCGTAGCATGGCTCAAGCCTTGTCTCAAGCACGCCCCCGGTCCAGGTACGCGCCGCGCCAGGCCTGCCGCGTTGGCCTCGGCGCCGGCGCCGCCCTGCTGTTGCTGCCCGCGGCCGCGGCGGGCCGCCTGGCCTCGGCCTGCCCCTGGCTACTGCTGCTGCCGCCGCCACCGCCGCCCCTCTCGGAGGCTGGCGTGCGCGCGGCGGCGGGCGGCGGTGGCGCCGCGGGCCTGGCTGCCGCCGCCCGCGGCGGGCCGCCTGGCCTGGGCCCGCTCCGGGCTGCTGCTGTTGCTGCCGCCGCCGCCGCCCCCGGCTGCTGCTGCTGCCGCCGCCGCTGCCGCCTCCCCCCGGAGGCTGGCGTGCGCGCGGCGGCGGGCGGCGGTGGCGCCGCGGACTTGGCTGCCGCCGCCCGCGGCGGCCGCTGGCCTGCTGGCCCGCTCCTGGCTGCTGCTGCTTCTGCTGCCGCCGCCGCCGCCGCCACCTCCCCCGTGGCGGCTGGCGCGCGCGGCGGCAGGCGGCGGTGGCGCCGCGGACCCGCCGCCGCTGCGGACGCCTCCCCCCAGAGGCTGGCGTGCGCGCGGCGGCGGGCGGCGGTGGCGCCGCGTGCTTGGCTGCCGCCTCCCGCTGCGGGCCGCCTTGCCTGGGCCCGCCCCTGGCCGCTGCGGCTGCCGCCGCCGCCGCCGCCTCCCCCCCAAGAGGACGGCGTGCGCGCGGCGGCGGGTAGTGCGCGCGGCGCTGGCGCATGACGACCAGCTCGAGCGTGGCCAGCAGCGCAACCGCTTCTTCCACCGCCTGGACTTCCAGTGCCTCGTTGCCTGGCAGTACTCAGACGACCAGCGGTGCGGCCTCGGGCAGCGCGGCCACGACCAGTACGGCCTCGTGCCGTGCGACTTCTACGGCCACCTCCACGGTGGGCCCCGCGACTTGAGTGCGATGCTGTGCGAGTGCGGTCGTGACGTGCTGCCGTGTCGGGCCTTTTCGGTTTCGACTTCGCGCCCTGGGGCACTCTCGTCGCCGCGGCCGGATCCTCGTCGAAATTTTGGTCGAAATTCTAGTTCCTGGTCGTTTCAACATTCCCGTGGTTGCTAGCCGCACCCCAGCTGGGTCTAGATCGGACCGAGCCCTCTCAACCGACGTCCTCGCCCAGACAGGCGACACAATTTCCTACCTTCCCGCTGCTGCTAGCCGCACCCCAACCGAGCATCGGCAGGTCCAGCAAGCGGCTGACCGCCGGGGGGAGTTGGGGCCCCCTCCAGGTTTCACCCCAGAATTCGGCTTCCTTGTGCGGGTCCACCTGGAGCTCCTGAGTCCCCCCCCCTGCAGGCCCCAGGCCGACGTGGACGGACCCCGAGTGGGAGTCCGATCGAGCAGATAGAGGCGTTCTCAACCATCCTGCGGCTGTTAGCCGCCCCCCCGGTGGATCGTCTTCTTACTGCCTTCGCGGCTGTTGGCCGCCCCCCTCTCAACGTGGCTGACTTGACCGCGTCTACCAGGGGCGTTAACACATGCATGATTCTTATCCTCGCGGTTGTTAGCCGCCCCCCCCTTCTCGGTGTACACGACTGTCTCGACGCCGTGCCGACGCCCCCCCGGGGCGTCCAGGCAAATTGACTTTGGGCAACCGGTTCGGCTGTATTGCGACCCCACCCCAATAGTGCACCCACTCTCCGCGGCTGTTAGTTGCGACCCCGCTCGCTCACCACATTTTTCTGCGGCTGTTAGCCGCCCCCCCACAGCACGCCACAGGCCCTCCGTGCTCCCCCAGGGGCGCGCGGGCTTGTGGGCCCGTCGTTCTACGTCGGCTGTCTCGCGGCGGCCCTGATGGACGAGCTGGGTTGGTAGCTTTCGATCATTATGTTCGGCTCTCGCGACAGGAGCTCTCGTGCCCTTCGTGGCCATGTTCCTCGTTGGCTCGGTCGGGCGGTCGGGATTTTGGGACGCAGGGTCACAGGGTCACGGACGCGTTTATTCCAGGCTCGTCCACTTGGCGGTTCACGCGGTCCGGCTCGCGGCGCCTGATTGACGCCAATTTGCAGGCCGCATGCGGTTACATGTTGCTGGGCACGTACTTCGAGGACGACGGGTTCCTGGTGAGCCTGGGCTTGGCGATCGCCTTTGAGCTGCGCTGCGTTAGTCGCCTGGCCTCTTTTCGCCCGGTCGTCGTCCGCGCTCTTTTCCACTCTGCTCTATCCTCTTCCACGCTTGCCAGCTGTGGCTTAGGCTCTCGCCCTGCACGTAGGCCTGGCTTCATTTGACTGTTGACGCCGCGCGACTGTCCGCTAGCGGTCGGTGAGCAAAAAAGTATCCACACCAGCCCACCCAGACACGATCGGTGGCTTTCTTGAGGCCTCTTGGAGGCTATCGTGGGCCATGTTCGGCTAGCGGCTCGCGGCTGTCGGAGGCCAACCCCTAGCTGCGGATAATAAACCCTAAGGGATAATAAAGTTCGGGGTTTGCGGGGGGATAATAAAAGTTGCCCGCCAGAGCCAGCATAAAGAGATACCACGAGGAAAAAGTCAAAGATATCTTGAGGATTGTCTCGGTTGAGACATCCTCAACGGATCACTTGTTTCGCTTGAGACATCCTCGGACTATTTGTCTGTTTCGCCTGAGACATCTTCAAAGTATTGCTTATTTCGCTGGGGACATCCTTGAGGGGGGAGGAGGAGAAAGAGCAAGAGGAGGAGAGGAGAAGGATATAGCAAAAACCCAAAGTTTAAAACGTAGTATATTTAATGTGTAAACGCTTCATGAAAAGTGAAATGTTAATTTGCTTGCGTAGGGTAGCTCACGTGCCTCGCTTTCCCAGGATAATCAACCCCAGCGATAAACAAGTTCCGGGCGCCAGGGGGAGAAGGAGAAAAGTATAGAGAGACAGAAAGAGAGAGAGAGAGAGAGAGAGAGAGAGAAAAAAAAAATAAAAAAAAAATAAAGAAAGACAGAAACAACTACAAAGAGACAGAAGGACATCGGTTTCGCTTGAGACATCCTTGAGGGAGGAGGAGGAGAAAAAGCAAGAGGAGGGGAGGAGAAGGATATAGCAAAACTCCAAAGTTAAAAACGTATTAGATTTAATTTGTAAGCGCTTGATGAACATTTAAATTGTCATCTGCCTGTGTAGGGTAGCTCACGTGCTTCATTTTCCCAGGATGATCAACCCCAGCGATAAACAAGTTCAGGGCGCCAGAGGGAGGAGGAGGAGGAGAAAGAGATAGAGAGACAGAGAGAGAGAGAAAGACAGAGAAAGAAAGAAACATAAACATACATAACTACAAAGACACAGATGGACATTAGTTTCGCTTGAGACATCCTGAAACAACGTGTTCGCTTCGCTTGATGTTGTTATCTCAACATAAGAAGGAAGTAACCTCGATGGCGAATTTTGCCCGTGATAATGAAGTTCGGCCTCCGCGCCCCCGCGCCCCCGACCAAACTCTTATTGGTCGACGAAAAAAACTAACGACCTAAGGGGGGGTACATTATAATCCTGGGTGTGGGGTTATCCTCAGCCATGCCGAGCTATCTTTGACTGTGTTGTGGCTGTCTTGAAGCCTTTTGGAGGTCTGCCGGAGCCTGCCTTGAGCGAGTGGCGCAGTTTGGCGCTGGAAATTGGAACGCCCCCCCCCTCCCTCCTTTCGCAGGCCTAGAGGTTGACACCGACACCAATATCGGCGGTGTGCTTCCACCGAGGGAAGAAGATCCTGATTTCGGTGATGGTGGCAATATTTTGACATCCAAAGTGACCGAAACATTACCACCGACACCGAATTCTAGGATCATCTTCCCCCCGTGGAGGCAACCCCCTGTGTTGGTCTTGGTGCCCATGTCCAGGCCTCCAGTCCCTCCCTCCCTCCGCTCCCACCCGGAACGGAAGGCGCCAGCACCCCGCCCGCCTCCGACGGCTCGGGCGACGGAACAACAAAGAACACGCGACGGGCGGGGGCGGAAACACGGTTTGGCCCATTGCGCGGCGTTGAGGCGAGAGCACGGTTTGGCCCACATTTGTAGAGGAGGACAAGGTACCGATACGGTGGAGGCGCTTGTGAAGGAATAGTCGCAGGAGGCGCCAGACTTTGGAGGATGCCTATCCCCAGTGAAGGCGGTGATATCCATGGCCGATTCACGATTGGAGTTCCCCTGGCCTCCAGACCCTGGATTCCTTACCGAAGGTTTCCTTATCCAGTGCCCCCACCGTGCTGCTAACATTTCGTCGTTTTTTCCTCCTTGGGCCTCCTGGGAAGCCCTGGATTCGCCACGGCTGGATTCGCTTCGAAATTCAGGACAAACCGCACCCCGGGAGAGGTCCGGGGAGTAGCGGTATCGGTATCTCCTGATTTCACCCCAAACAACGCGACGGGCGGGAACGGAATTTTAGCAACGTGCTGCGCGGCGTTGCTGCGAGAACGCAGTTTAGCCCACCTTCGGTCGGCTAACAGGTCCGATGGGGCGGCGAAGGCAAGGCCCTCTTAAGTCGGGCCTGTCCTTCCGCAGGAAGAAAATTCACACATCGTCAGAAATAGCCACCAGGGACGATTTGTCCATTGTTTCTTGAGCACGTCGGGGCTATTTGTTGGGTATGTGTTTGGTATGTTGGGGGTAATGTTTGAACGTGTTTGAATCTTCGTGTGGTAGCTTTCATTCCTTGTCCGAAATCCCGCCTGGAGAGGGGGACGCGCCCGGCCCAGGGCGAGGCACGCGCCGCCTCGGGGCACCCCACCGTGCCTCGCTCTCTCCCTGTTGCGCACGGGCTGCGCGGCGTCTCGCGGCGCTGCGGCGGGGGCACCGTGTGGCCCACCTCTCGGTCGGCCAGCCTTGGTGGGCCTGCTTTCCACCACCACCACCACCACCACAATTAAGTTGGAGGGGGGAGGAGGAGGAGGAGGAGGAGGAGGAGGAGGAGGAGGAGGAGGAGGAGCAGGAGCCCCTCCACCTCCTGCTTCTGGTGGCGGCGGTGGAAAAACACAAGCCCACCAGGCAGGTCCGAGGAGGCGGCGAATGACGGAGCACGCGCCGCTTCGGCACGCCACCCCGCCTCTCTTGCGCACAGGCTGCGCGGCGCTGTTTGGGGCGAGGGCCCACGTGTCGCCCGCCCCCGCGAGGCCCCTGCCGCCGCGACTCCGCGCGCCTCCGCGCGGCTCGTCGTCGAGGCGCTCGGCGCGGGCGGAGCCCGCGCCGGGCCCGCGCGGCAGCGCCACTGCCGGGCGAAGTCTCCACGGAGATTTGTGGCGCGAGGGCCACGGGTCTTACATCGGGCCTGCCTCTCTGCAGGGGGAGTAGTCGAAAATACCCCCCAAAAAATGGTCAGAGGCAGAGGGTGGTTTTGTTTCAGTATTTCCCTGCATGTGTTGCGCATGTCCTGGCTATTTTCAAGAATTCGTCCACAGTCCGCCTGATGGAGGACACGCCCGACCTAACTAACACAAGTCGTCCGCTCGCGCGCGACCCCGCCCCAAACGACTCGCCACTCTCCATGTGGAATCTGCGCTCGAACTAGAAAAAAACGCCATAAGCATAAACTTTTGGCGCTCCGCGCGAATTTCTTGGATCTGCGCTGTGCCCCCCCGGCGGCGCCTCCGGCGCCGCCCCTGGCGCGCTCCGCGCGCCATGAAGTCCACGCGGAGCGCCACAAGTTTATATTTATAACGTTGTTTCTTCTATGCGCGACGCCGAGGCAAGAACGATGTTGTGGTCCGTTCGCGCATCGACGAGTCGGCGAGCGAAAGACGCGCGCCGCGCCCAGGCGGGAAATCGGCGTTCAGGAAACGTTGGCGCGCCACAGAGGCTGGAACGACATGTCGCCCGCTCGAGCGGAGATCTTTGCGCGGCGCATTTTGCGACGTCGACGCCAAGACGTCCACGCCGAGAGGAGCCGCGTCGATGTTGTATCTGCTTCTTACAAGCAGGATGCCATGTCCCAGCTTGCGGGCGATCGGCCGGCGAGGTGGCAGCGTAAGATAAGAGGAGCAGCACGAGGAGGAGGAGGAGGAGGAGGAGGAGGGAGGAGGCGGAGGAGGAGGAGGAGGAGGGGAAGGAGGAGGAGGAGGAGGAGGAGGATAGGCATAGCATGCCCGTCGTCAGATGCTTCCTGTCCTCCTCATCACCATCCTCATTATCTTGCCATTTGCCGTCCTTGGCTCAAGAGGTGTGAAGGCAGAAGTCTTGCGCGTTCAGCTTGGCATCCGCGCCGCAGCAGCCATGCCGGAGACGCTGGAGATCAGCAAGGAGGCGAAGTCGGGCAACGGTACCCTCGAGAACGTTGGGATCAAGCTGGATGGCCAGTTCAAGTGCCCGCACTGCAGGCAGGCCTTCTCGGACGACAAGGCTCGGCAGCTCCACCTGAAGTTCCAGTGTCCCACGGCCATCGCCAAGCAGATCAACCCGATCGGTGACTAGGTTCTGAGAGCGAATCGGGTGACCACACTCTGATCTGCGATCGGAGACTTGGCTCCAGTGGCACCGTCTGCTTGCTAAAGCAGAATTATCTTCGAGAGGTAGTGGGGCGGGCTTTTTGGTAGAAGGGGAGGTCGAGCTAGTCAAGATTTGATTCGGCTCCCCGGCGGTGCCAGCTCAAATATTCTCTTGACAGTAAGCTACGAAAAAAACATCGCCACGTTGGTCAACATCACCACCGTCATCACCATCTCCATCACTTCCGTCACAGAGGTTTTACGTCCGCGCCGCCACTGCGATGGTGGGGCCCTATAGACACAATGCCACCTTGTTTCAGTATTTCGGTTACGGCAGGGACGTTCGTCAAGGAATTTGCCCAGGAGGCTTCAGACCCTGGCGGATTCCTTGTCTGATGAGGGCGGCGGTGATGTGATGTCAATGGCCACGCCTCCATGGGTGCTCCGCCAGCTCCCGGACCCTCGGTCCCCTCTCCAGCGGTTCCGTGTCCAGTGCCCTCGCCGTAGCCGGTGGCGGCCTCCCAGGGGACTCCCCGACGGCCCCTCGGCCATGGCCAGGAGGGCCCTGGCGCCGGGATGCGCGCCGCTCCCACGTCCGCCCGCCGGCCTGCGGGGAAGGCCGACGAGGGAGCCCCCGCCTCCCCCCGCGACTCGAGAGCCCGGGCGCCGAGGGTGCGGCCCCTTCGGGCCGAGGAGGGGCTCCGGTGCGCGTTGCCGCTCCAGGAGCGTGCAGGCGGGCACGCCCCTTCTGCGGGCGGAGTATATGCCGGAGCAGTCAAGGGATAGTCTGGGGACGATGGTGCGGCTATGCTGGGCAATTTTTTTGGGGGGGGACTGTACTACTTTGATTTGTCTTGCAAGATCTGCCTGTAGGGGGACACGCCCGACCTAACAGTAACGTTAAGCCGGGCCTGTCCCTCCACAGGAGGCATATTCAAAAAAGTCGAAAATAGTCTGGTGACGATTTTTCTAGTATGTGTGACCATTTTCGATTATTTCGGGGGTATTTTTCCAGTTCTCATCCAAAATCCGTGTGTAGGGAGGCCCGCCCGACCTAACGTCACGGGGAGCAGAGCGAAGCCCTTCGTGGCCGAGAGCCTTGCCACGTCCAACCCCGCTGCAGGTTTCCCCCTGGCGGCCAAGGGCCCAGCACCAGGACGCTCTTCTGGGGACCTCGCCGCCCCCAGATGCACAGGGCTCAATTCCATTCCTCCGATTCGATTCGATTCGATTCGAGTCCGTTGGCTTCCGATTCCGATTCGATTCGACTTCCGATTCCGATGTGGGCTCCGATTCCTTATTTTGGAGGCCTGGCAGCCTGCCGAGTTCCGCCGAGTCGGCTTTTCCCGATACTCGGCTGCCGATTCCCTCCGATCCGATTTAGTTCGATTGCCGATCCGACTTCTCGATTCGATGCTGAGCTCTCCTGGCAGCTATCCCCGCGGCGAAAAAAAAATACAGATCCGCTACGAGGGCGGAGTCCACTCACCCCAGATCTCTCTCTCTCTCTCTCTCTCTATATATATATATATGTGTATATATATATATATATATATATCCCTTTCCCACCCGTAGCCGCCAGTAGCCTCCGGGCCTCCCGTGGTGTTCGGAGCAGCCGGGGCCGGTGGATCTCGCCTCGGCGCCGAGGCATCGGCGATGCGCGGCTCGATGCGCAGCCCGAGGTTCGCCGCGTGGACGGCGCCGCTGTAGCGCCGACGTCGCGGATGCATCGCCGCTGCAGCGCCGACGTCGCGGATGCATCGCCGACGCATCGGCGACTAGGCGAGATCCCCTGACCCCGTCTATTCCGATCCCATGTGGGAGGCCTTCTTCATAAGCTGTGTACGTCGGTTAGGCCAGGTATCGCCCACCTCGGCACCCGCTTCTGACCCACCTGCCCTCGGTGACACCACCGCGGTGATCCGAGTATAGCCCCCCGCCTCAACTATCCTCGATGTTCCTGGGCCAGCGGTCACGGCATTCCCCCATCGGCGATCCCGATCCTCCACCTCGACGTTTCTCGGTCCTCGGCGATCCCCGATCGTCCTCCTAACCAAGTGGTTTACGTCATCCTGCCGACACCTTGATGGAATGAGAGCTTGCGACGATCGTGAAGGTTATCTAGTGGGTCAAGAGCCTCTTGTATGCATATGAAGGGGCTCTGGGGATGCTTTTCAGGGGCATCTTGGAAGGCTGTTTGTGGCATCTGGAGGGCTTTGGTGGGTCTCTTGAGGGCCTCTTGGTGGCATCTTTGGGACCTATTGGTGGCCTCTTGGAGGCCTCTTGGCGCCTCTTGGGGGCGCCTCGGGGAGCTCTAAAGGGGCGTGTGCGGCCACTTTCGGGGGAAAAGCTCGCGATGTTCGTTCGCATTCTCCTTCTTGGGCCTTTACTAGGGCTCAATTGGGGCTCTCTTGAGCCGTCATGGGGCCCTCTTGGGCCGTCTTGGGGTCCTCTTTGGGGCCTCATTGGCCGTCTTGGGACCCTATTTGGGGCTTCATCAGCCGTCTTTGACAATGTCAAGACGAAAATAGGCGAGTATGGTAAACATGCAGGTCTTCCCCAGGGAACGAGGCGATTCTCGAGTCTTGGGGCCCTCTCGGCAGTCCTTTGGCAACACTCTTGGGCCCTCTTGGGCGCCTCGTGAGCCGTCTCGAAGACATCTTAGACTGTCGTGGGGCTACCTTGGGCCCTCCTGGCGCTCTCCTGGTCTGCAGGCGAATCTTCTCCCCCAATCCCCGAGTTCCGTCCCAGAAGTTAGGCCGCTCAGAAACAGGGGGAGACCCTGGGATACACCCCAAGGGTACTTTTCGGACGCAACCCTATCGAGGATGGACGCCCCCCTATCGTGTATCCCAGGGTTGGGCCCACAATTTCTTGCCCATACGAAGACACCACGAAGCCTGGGATAGGGGTCGACATACCCCATTTCAGGTCTTGGCGCTCCGTTTGGGCCCTCTCGGGCCGTTTCGGGGGCTCCGGAGGGGCTCTGGGAGACCCAGGGATGCGCTCCTTGGGGGAGCGGCAGCCCTCGCCGCGCCCCCCCCCCCCGGCCCCCCGCCCCCTCCGATCGGATATTGGACCATGGGCCGGGGAGGGGGAAATCTAGGCCTCCTAGGAGACTTTTTTTTTGTGGGGTCCGGCGATAGCCCGGGTTATCGGGCTTGCCCCCTCCCCCCCCAAGGATAACCTGACCTTGCCGGTTGTGCAGGTCCGGGGTGGGGGGGCGCGGGCATATGCAGAGCTGCCCACAGCGCGAAGGTTAGGTCATCGGCCGGACCCCTCCCCCCTCCGGAAAACCGGGGCTATCGCCGATTCCGAAAACAAGCGGTCTCCCAGATGGGGTCGGAGTATAGGTTGGGTCGGCGATGCGGCTCGATGTGGAGCCCGATTTTCTCCACGCTGGAGTCGCCGATGCACCGCCGATGCATCGGCGATGTATCGCCGATGCATCGACGACGCGGTGCGATCCTCAGACCCCATCTACTCCGACCCCATCTAGGAGGCCCCTAGGAAACGTGGATGGGGGACGGCCACGTGTCCTTGTGGACGACGATCAGTGGAGAGGAAGCATGTTACCAAATCGTTGCTGGATGTCTCAACATGTTGCACAGATGCATAGAACATGTTCTGAACAGTTTAAGACCATGTTTCCAACATTTTTAACACAGTGGTGTCCATGGTTAGGGTGTCCATTGTCATGGCATCCACAAACATGTCTCACACGCCTTTTCTTAAGTCGGGCCTTTCCAGGGGGAATATTCACAAATAGTCACAAAGTAGTCTGGGGACTATGTTTTGACTATTTTCGAGCATTTGGGGAGTATTTTTCGAGTTTTTATCATCTTCCGCCCAAAATCCCCCAGTAGGGGGACACGCCCGACCTAAGCCGTTTCACCCCCCGCGACCGGATGTCCGCGGGTTCTCCCGGCGCGCTGGCGAGTCTGGTTGTTTGGGGGTCCCCACTCGGGCCTGCGGCGGCCGCTCGGGGCGGCGCGGGCACCCCCCCAAAGCCCGCGCCTGCGAGGCGCCGCCGCTGGAGCGCATCCCGAGGCCGGAAAGTCGGCCAGGGCCGACAGCCGGAGGTCGGTAGACCTCCTGCCCTGACACGTCGATGAAGGAGTTGGCCGTTTTCGGTTCGCGAGAGGGCGTCGCGGCCGTCATTTTTGCGGGTCCAGGCCCGTCGGTTTCGGTCCCAGGCCGTTTTCTTTAAGGGGAGGTTTACTAAAGGGAGGTTTGTCCAACGCCGAGACAACCCAGCCCGAAAGCCTTTATTTGCCCTCCATTTCCAGTGTGTGGTGGGTCGGGGAACACTGACAACATCACGAGTGAAACCCGTACCCCCCCCCCAAACCCGAGATTCGGGTCTTCGGGTTGGGTTGGGGTGGTCTGGTAGGTAGTCAGACGAGAGCCGACGAGAGCGCCCGAAAACCTTGAGAGCCTCGAACCCCAAGCTCCCAAGCTCGCTGCGCTGCTCCACCTGGGCTCGGCGGCACCCCAACACACGAACACTATGTGTGCGTCGCCACCCCGGGGGCGATGCGCGCACCGAGAACCCTTGTAGTATGCGCGTCGTGGCGGGCGCTTTTGGGCCGTACCGCTCGGGAAACGATCTACTACGAGATGGTTATACTATGTGTTCGGGAGGATCGCGCGCCGCCGAGGAGGACGTATAGCATTTGTATGTCTCCTGTGCGTCCCATCGGCGGTCCTCGATCCTCCGCTTCTGGCACTGCGCGCCCTGCAGGGGTTCATCTCCGACCTCTCCTGGGCCAGCGGCACCCGGCTCACCCCGTGCCTCGCCTTCCGCCAGTCGGGCAGCTACGTGGTCCGGCGCTCCTCGCCGCCCTCTGGGGCCCAGGAAGAGAACGAGGAGGAGGAGGAGGAGGACGAGGAGGAGGAGAAGAGGAGGACGAGGAGGAGAGTATTGATTAATGAGAAGGAGGAGGAGGAGGGGGAGGAGGAGGAGGTGAGGAGGAGGAGGAGGAGGAGGGCAATGGGGGAGGAGGAGGAGGAGGAGGAGGCGGAGGAGGAGGAGGAGGAGGAGGAGGAAGAGGACCAGTGTAAACCGAAGACTCATCAACGATATTATAGTAAACCCTTCCTCCAAGTTCCTCCTTCATAGGCCCCTCCAAGGGTTCATGTTCACTGAAGAAGGTGCCCCGTTGGAAAACGACTGTTTGAAAATTCTGA